AAGACACTAATGGTTTAATGAAGCATGAACTACCATGCTCCTATTTAACCTGTGCAGTCAATACGTATGCCAGCATTGCCACGTTCATATTAGTAAGCTAACACTTCTGAATAGTGAACAAATTTCTAAAATACTTGCAAAAAGTGCAACTAAGTCCATCAAAATTTTTGCTGAAAGTTAGCTGACTGTCTTTCCATTACTAAGACTGTAGAACAAATTGCATTCATCCTAACACATTTGCAATGTTTCTTTATTTTCTTATTGGCGTTTTTATGCGTACAGTCTCTGTGTATAGTCCCTTCTCATATGTAGAAGCTTCATCTTCTCATAAGGAAACATCTTCAAAACGAAGAATCAGCACCACATCACTACTGTATGTTTGAAGTCTCTACACTTACAAAGGTTAAAATACTGTGTTCAGACTGGCAGTGTTTTTTCTGCTATTGTGAATTAGTGCGCAGCCCGGTTCCTGTTTTGCCATCTTTTCCACAGCTCAGTCACAGGGAAGTGACGCTGGGGTTTGAGGTTTCAAAGGAGGAGCAGAGCCCTGGCATGTTTCATTTTTCTTCTTTTCCTCCTCATTTCTGCTGGCTGGCAAACTGGCTGGTAGGAATTGGTTTGGGAGAATAAAATAGGCTGGGTCGCTCACTCGGAGACAAGCAAGGAACCCTATGAAGCTGTTGAGGATTTGATCTTTTTGTTGATTTCCGTTCTATCTCCCAGCTGTTTCCCAGAAGTGCTACCAGCTTTATCCTTGCATTTCTGGGTAATTTTAATTCCCTTCTAGTTTCACCAAAGCAACAGTGTAAGACAGAAATCCTGACTCCACGCAGTGTTTTACAAATACCTTGATGATGAAAGATAAGACATAAACTGAAAGCTGACTGGTCTGTGGGAATGTTCCGTGCCTTGCAGGAACATTACATTCAGCATCGTGATTTTATCAGCGAAAGGAAGCAGGGATGGGAACGGGGCTGGATAACATTTCTGCAGCCTGAATGAGAGGTTGTTTCTTTTATGGACATAGCATTCACAAAACCATCTTAAGGAAGGCTCCCTTTCAGTCTGCAGCACGACAGACAGAGTTAAATGGGACAGCAGCACCTGCCAGAAGGCTGCTTGGGTTTGCGGGAAATAGAAAAATCAATCCTTTTGCCGGCACACCGGGGGGGTCTCGGCCTGTGCCCCGCGAGGGGGTAGGGCCTCGGCTGCCTGATGTTCCAGATGTGCCCGAGGTGCACGACCACCATCTAGTGGCTGCTGGAAAGGAAGGAGAAGGAGCCTGTTAAAGGCTGGCATCTGGGGCGTGTTCTGGGTCATGTTACACGTAGCGTTTTAAGCTTTTAGTTACAACGCATGCATTCGTACTTGCCTGAATAATTCCTGATTTGCAAGAAAAAAAAAATTAAAAATTAAACTTTTATGTGGGTGTTTTTGTTTGTTTTGGGGTTTTTTTCCCCATAAAGTGTCCCTCCTGTAAATTTGCTTTCTCAGCGGCTTCACAGCAGGCAGAAGAAAACTGAGAGAACCCTGATGTAGTAAACCAAGGTGGTCAATAAACATAGCTGACACATGCAGAAAATGCTGGAGTTAATGGCATACCTAAGCTTAGTTTTCATTTTTTTGTTTTACAAATCACACAGCACGAAGATATTAATGAAAGGCAGCACCTCGACATTGTGTATCCCGTAATAATATGGGATTTTGAGTCTAGAAGAAAGAACATAATGTAGAGTTAGGAGGAGAGGGCTCTGTTTCCAGGTTTAATGATTTTTCCATGTGACCTTTTAGCTCTGCTCCTTTAATTATGCAGTTATAAAATTTCAGCACTGTTCAGTGCACTCTTTCATGATGTCCATTTGCAGATGAGCTGACTGTAGCAAGAGCTGATGTCACAGAGCATGTTGGTGTGACAGAGGCACAGAAACAAGCAGAAAATCCTGTGTGTTTACAAAATACACATAAATATAAAACACACTGTGTAAAATAGCATCCCTGCATAGTGATATTATTCTCTTCTGTCAACTATGAGTCCTTTTTTTAACTAAATTCCTTCTGTATTCTTTAGGTATTTAGAAGCTAGACTTTTGGCAGGATAGGTTTTTTCACTCCCCTCTGGAAAATCACCTATGTTCTCTGGCTCTTTCAATTCTTTTCTCCCTGCTGCTCCATTCATTTGTATAGCATGGAAGAGCCAGGTGACTGTGCTCCCTGGGAATGGCATGGAAACCAGTAGAGTCTTCTTTTATTACAGCCATTTGGGTGTTAAAGCAACTACTTCCTCCATGCCCCTTCAGGCTAATGCTGCCAGCTGGTAGACCCAAAAGAAACATGTGTTAAAGAAGGCATAAGCCCCCTGCATTTCAGTGCTGAATGCCCATATACCTAAATATGCATTAATAGGAGGGGTACGGTTTGTCTCTGATTGCTGTCTTTTCTTCTATAAGGTATGAAGCGAGTGAAAATGTTGCATAAGTTAAGCAAGATTCAATCTCTTCATACTACATGAATTCTTTCATTTTCTGGACTTTTTTCCTTTTTATTTTTGATAATGACCGCATGCAGCTGTAAAACATTTCCAAAGGTGGAAGTGTTTACTGGTTGCGTAAAAGTAGTCTTTTGCGACTGATACAGGTTATGATATTGATTTATTTAGTTTTAATCTGTGTATGGAGAAATGTTTTCCTGCCTTGTTTTGGATAACCATCAGCGTGGTTAAAGGAATTGTTTTATTGTAACAACATAATGTGGACCTTATTAGACAAGTTCAAGCAAAAGCACTGAAACAAAAAAAATTCAAAGTATATTCCTTTATTTTATTTCTGCTGTCATCAGAAAGTTCCTCCTAAATGACTAATCTTTCTTGCCACCAAGGTTTAGCCACCTACTGAAACAAATAGGAAAATTATCATGAATATTTTCTAGATATTTTTATTTATTAATATTTAACAATGTTCTAGATGCAGGTGTTGAAATCCTAGTCCCAAATTCAGCAAGTTACCCATGCCAACATGCCTAAACTGATGAGTAATGTCATTATAGTCACGTGCTGAACCCTCTTCATGGTTCAAAGCTTTTTCATGCTGAAGTGTCTTGCTGATGCCTGTAGTTAATTGCATGAATCTTGATCTAAATGTTCAGGACATTGACAAGAGATGACTACATTTTGAAGTAAATGGGGTCTGTTGTGTACCTGAATAGCCGGGCTCTGCAGGTTTTGAAGCCCTTGTTCCCCCTGCCACTCATATTCCTGCTTGATTTACACAAGTTTTTATGCTCTCGTGTGCCCTAACCATGGGACTCCTAGCACAATGTGGTCAGGACTTAAGCCCTCTGAACTAGTAGAAGAAGACACGATGTCAGAAGGAGAATTTTGCCATTTGATCTAAGGGGCGTAAGTTAGGTTTCATACGTGGCAGCATCACCATGTCTGTTTTTTTCTGATGTATCCTGCCATCACTTAAAATTCTGATGCTCTCTCTCCTTCCATATGGGTTGGAACATGGTGAGAAAAACAGGGCATGCTGCTGTGAAAGGAGTCTTTTTAATAACTTAACTCGTTGGCTTTAGGAAGATGTAGTCAGGTATTAAAGAAATACTCAGCAAAGATAGAATCAGTTGCTGATTGTCTTCACATGTAACTTTTAGAAGTGCAGACACATGCAGTAAGGCAGATGTTAACTAAGAATTACTCTTCTTTTTGAAAACAAAGCACTTCATGGTGTTGGATCCCTTACTGTCATGCCTTTATTCTGTATCCAGTTGAAACAGTATTTACAGAGATAGTTAGCAGCATGGTTCCTGGCATCAGTATTGAAAGCTTTATTACTTTCTAGTCACGTATGTTAAGAATGTATATTCTTAGTGGTGATTGCTTTCTAATAGCCTTAAGAACACCTGTAGCAGTTATATATGAGCCATATTTTTACTTCAGTGTCACAGATGAACACATATTATTTTAATTGGGTTAATTGTGCATTTTTGTCCATTCACAGTATTGCTTTACTGTGGCAGATGGCCCAGTGTATGTGTTATAAATACTTTGCATGACATCCCCTCTATTTTACTAATCTTCACTGTGACTTTCCCATTGGTAATGACTAATTACAGTTTCCTAGCCAGCAACTTTTAATAGATTCCTTTTTTTTTTTAATCTCTGCCTGTCCTCAACAGCACTGTTTTGTTCAATAATTTAATCAGTTCAGCAACAGTATAATATTAGATAATTGAACTATTACTTTATGAGTTTCTGAAATGCAAAATAGCCATGAAATAATCACTGATGAATTTTTCAGTATTGATAGAGACTCTTTTTTCTGAAGAAACAGAAAGGGGTTTGCTATCTATGCTTGAATGCTTTTTTTCCTTTTATTTGTATTTCTGTCCCTTGGTCCTGAGAACCATATGCAGTAAATAGGAAGCAATCCAATAACCAGAAAAACTTAACAGAAAGGATTAACATTTTTGCCTACCCATGGTGACCACGTTAACCACTCAACACCTACATATCAAACAAGTGAATTTATGCATAAAAAATTCCATTCATCCCTGTCTCTTCTTATCAGTGACGATTTATCTGCAAAAGGGACTCCCTAAGGCAAAACCACTTCCAGGTTTATCCCACCTGTGTTAGCAGACGAAAGGATGGAGATGCTGCAAATTCAGTGGGGGAATAACAGCGCAGAGCTCCTTACAGGCTGGTGTGATTTTTTGGGGAAACTCCTGGATTCAGGAGTTTCTGACTAGAACCGCTCCTTTCTCTGTGAAGAGGGTCAGATAGTCAGCTGCTTCTTGCTTACTATCTGCATGTGGCTAGCAGCTGCTGTGTTTTGCTAAGGGCACTACTCCTCACACTCCCTCTCTTTTATCCCAAGATATTTCATGAAACGAAGCAGGAGTGGCATGGAGCTAGCAGGTGGCTGTAGGACAATTCCATGATTTCACAGCAGTTTGTGAGATTTCACAGTTTAATTTCACAGTTTAATTGTGCTCCTTCTCAGAACAAAAAAATACTTCAAACAAGAATACCGTACGAGCCCTAACCACAGTTTGTATTTTGAAGCTTTCATTGCAGACATAAGGAGGAAGGGGGAGCTGGCTGGAGTGTATTATCCCTCAGATGTTAGGCTGAGTTTGGATCTTAAGTTTAAAAGGACTATTTTATTCAAAAATGGTTTTTCAAAATTTTACTTTATTATTTTATTTTGTTTTATTAAAAATTATTAAAAATCATTTTATTCAAAAAAGGTATTCAGCTTTTATTCAAAAATTGTTTCTGAAAGCATAAACCACTCATAAGTTTTCTTTCATATCCTCTCCCCTCCCCAGAGTGATATAGGAAGTTCAGCTTAAAAGTGCTGTAATGTTTTTTAAGCCAACACATGTTTGTTAATGCAGCTACCCTGGCTACCTGCCTGAATTTTGGAACTGTTCAGTGGCTCATTGTAGACGCTTAACTGTGCTTGCTAGTGTCGGGCACCTGCTCTGTGTATTGCTGCTTACTCAGTGTTGCTGATATTAATAGTGATTTCTTTCACCTACTGAACGTTGATCCTGACAGTTTTAATTAAATCTGCTTCTTCTCACGGATGCTGCTGAAGTCACATGATGGCACAAATTCTGCCTTTGGAGACATTTGCATAATGCCAGTGAACCCATCTAAGGGATTATGCATGTATGTCCAGGGAGAAAAGGGAGTCCATTCTGATACAAAACCAATTCATATTCAGCTGCAAAAGAAAGAAAAGTGGAAATGCACCTGAAAAACTTCTCTTAGAAGATAGGAAAAGAGAGCTGATTGATACCCTTTAGAGAAAAGGAAAATAAACTAGATAAAAGATTATTGTTTGCTGATATTGAAAACTTTCAAGAAGGCTTAATGCCAAACATTTTCATTTTTCCTCTGACAGGCACAAGCATATTTACTGTTTACGAAGCTGCTTCTCAGGAAGGCTGGGTGTTCCTTATGTACCGAGCAATCGACAGCTTTCCCCGATGGCGTTCATATTTCTATTTCATCACCTTAATTTTCTTTCTGGCCTGGCTTGTTAAGGTACTGAAAAATATGTTCTTTTAAGCCTGTCTGAAAAGTAGATCATATTAGAATTAATTTCTTCTCTTTTCTGCTTGCTGAGCTTTGTGTCAGCCATTCTTTCTTGTTCTTTTTTCAGAATGTTTTCATTGCAGTCATCATTGAAACGTTTGCAGAAATTAGAGTGCAGTTCCAGCAGATGTGGGGGTCCAGGAGCAGTACAACTTCAACTGCTACCACCCAGGTGAAGCACTTGAGATACTGAGATTCTCTGGGGACTTTATTTGGTTTAGTTTATGAATGAATAATAAGCCAAAACGTCCTGTTAATTATTATTTTATCTGATTTTTTTTTTGTTTTGCATGTTAACACATATATTTTAAAGTTGATATATGAATTTTCATATAAAATTAAATTCTAGGGTATATTTTTCAACTAGGCTTTCTTAAAAAAGAATAATAGAGAAGACTGTAATATGGTTCTCTCTAGGGCTGGGTATGTTATTGCTAAGTTTTTATTTTCTTTTAATGAAGTAAAATAATGCTTTTTTATCATGTCATTGGTGCATTTGGAATTAGGTTTGCTATTGAATATCACTTTCTGTGCTAAGGAAGAAGAGCTGAAATTGCAAACTGTAGCTGGAAGAAGAGAGGTCAGAGCGTAGCTGAAGCGTTTGGGGAAGCTGGTCCTGGAACTGGGAAAGGCATGTTGAGACCAAGGAGGAATGAGGTGCTGAGGCAATGAAAGAGTCATGCTAATATTTGAGGTAGCCACAGAAAGGGAGACCCTGAATATGAGATAATGGGTAGAAAGAAGCCATGATAGGAAGGATGCTATGCATGGGCTGGGTCGTGTGAAAGACCTGGCATGAAAAACGAGGTCTAATGGTTGAAATCTAAATTCTCCCACTCATTATTGGAACAATTGTATTATGTATCCTGAATGTAGAAAAGGCCAGGATATTCCAGGCCAGTGCAGTTTGCCATCTATAAGAGGGACCAGTACCGATTGCCTGCAAAAAGCCCTTAGGAAGACAGATATGAGAAACATACCCCTGAGGTATGATTCTATTCTATGATTCTATGAGGAAAATTTTTCTAAACTCTATAGCTAGAGATTATTTATTTTCTTAAGCCAAAGGATTTAAGTGTTTCAAAATTATTCATTAAATATTTTCTGATATTCCTTTGGATATTTCTGTAATCCATATGTAAATCTAGTCCTTTTCTGCCTGATGGTACGTTTTTCACCTCAAATAGACTTTGTGGCAATAATTTCTACTCTATATATGTCTTTGTCAAATCAGACTTGGTGTTATAAATTTAAAATCTAACAAAAAACCCCTGTCTTTTCCACATGGCACATACTTAGCCTGAGGAGCATAATGTTCATTTCATCTCTGATGGGACAAATTCTTGAGCCATATAGGCTTAACCGACATACTCTGAACCAGAAGCTGGAACAGAGAGATCAATGCAGGAAAACTCAAAAAGCAGCCCACATTAAGGAATTTCATAGATAAAAGAAATTCCAAAAATAATGTCATCATGCCAAAGATTATGAATGTGCTGGATATAAATTGCATCATGCAAAATAAAAATAGCGTGTTGGCTGCAGACGAGCGAATGGTTACTTTGTTCCTTGAGTCACTGGCATAATGGGACATAAAGGGAGTCCAGATTACTGAACCACAAAAACGATTTATCTTTTTCTGTATTAAGAAGGGCAGAAAATTTCTTGCAGGGTTGCTTGTTCAAAGCACCAGACGAAAGTTAAAAACCTTGCTTGTGAAATAACCTTGAGAAAAAGCAACAATATATTGCTTCATTTGCCTGCTTCATAAATCATTAAACTGGTCCCAAAACTTAGTCCTATAGAAAAGTAAGTAAGTGTCCAAGAGTCAAAGTCAAGGAAGGGGTCTCTGGAGAAGGATAAAAGGAGGTTCTTGTAAAGCACTTTAGCACTGCACATGAAAGCATGGTACAAAAAGAAGTAACTCAGTGCTGATCTGAGTTGGCAACTCTTCCTGGTGCAGAGATGCTACACAAGGACTCAGCAGCATTAATGCCATATTTGTGTGGCGCTGTCCCCAGTCTGAGGAGCACTTCTCTCAGGATGGCTTTTAAGCTTCAGCCGTGCTGCTGTGGCTGTGTTCTCGAGGTGACTTGTCTGCATGCTGGGTGTCAAGGAAGAGGTGGGAGTGAGGTGGGAGCTTTGCCACACTTCATTACCTAGTATATGCAGGCTCTCAGGTGGCAATTCAGAATGCTAGAGCCATTCATTTTCTTTCAAGGACAGTGTTAATCACTTCCAGACATGGTTTCTCACTGTTCCTTATGTCCAGCAGTCTGCATCTTTTTATGTCCTCATTTCTGAGGGGGGGGAAAAAAAAAACCCTATGCTTCCAGAGGTTATTGATAAAATGTCAATACCACTGTGGTCTAGAGAGCCTTTTCCACTGACATCATTAGAGCCCAGATATCATTCAGCTATTTGTAGGAATTATAAGCTCTGGGTAGCAGTACGGAAGGGCTGTACAGCTACTTTTGACATGCGTCAGTGCAACAAAAATAATGTCTGATTCTTGGAATAGAATAATTTTTCCAGTAAAAAAGACGAGGTTGTCTATTATTTCCAAATGCACCATGAAACTTATTTATTGGTCGCAATATATTTGTGTTTCTTCAGGATAAGCTTACCTTAGTAAGGAATTTATTTTGTACAGAGGTATCACCATCTAATGATACTGGTCAGAGATCAATTGAATCAGTTTCTATGTTAGAACTAATAGAGACACACTGTGTTTGATGCTATCTGAGTAAAATTCAGAATCTGTTAAAGTTGGAAAAAGGGCATGTTGTGCTTTTTTTTTTCCTGTAACAGTAAGAACCATTTTCCTCTTATTTTAAACTAGCTATCATTAAAATGTATGCAGGTCCTTAAGGGGAATGCATTAGATTTCGCTTGTATTTATTGGCATGTAAAACATTTCTGACAACAGTTTTCCCTTTCAAGATGTTTCATGAAGATGCTGCTGGAGGTTGGCAGCTTGTGGCTGTTGATGTGAATAAACCCCAGGGCAGAGCTCCTGCATGTCTACAGGTATGACATTGCTTTTTAGTAAATCAGTGTGTTTAATCAGCACCACTCCAATGTTGGCAAAAGGAGGCTGTAGTGAGAAATAGCTACAATAATTTTAGTCATAAATTTCTTTAAATCCATTTCTTTCTGCAGTGTAGGCTTGTTCTTGAAAATCACAGATCAACAAAAAAAAAGATATACCACACCCAAAGGGAGAAGATAAGAAAAATACATTCCTTATAAAGTCTCTGTTTTGTGTGCTCATGAGAGAAAGATTTTAGATTTTTTTAAATATAAAATAGCATAGGTAATCATCCTTTATCTCTCTGACTTTACATACAAACTGATTCCATTCCTAGGTTATTCACAACAAAAAATGCTTTTTTATTAGCTGAAAAATACAATAACATATGCCAAGAAGCATGACTAATCTTAATAAACACAGAAGTACTTCATTTCTCTTGTTCCATCTTGAAAATAGGCTCACAGAAGAAGGGGGAAGGGGCATGTAGGTAGTAAGCCATGCAGTGTTTGAAACTTCCAGATTTAATATTCTCACTTGGATATAGGTGAGTTTGTAAAACTCTATCCTCATTGTTTAAATAAATCCAGACTAAGATAAGTAATATTTTTATAAATCCCTTTTTATTACAGCATATTGTACAGCAGCTCAAATTTTTATTTGCAAGTTAAATAATGTCACTTCTGGATGAAACAAACTGGCTTCAGAGCAGAAAGCCAAATCTACTATAGGAATCTTCATAGCATGATGTTTGCTGGCAGTTTTGGTTATGTTTGGATTAATGTGTAAACTAAAGTACATGTACTTGTTGGCAGCGTGTACATTGCTGAACACTAAACTGGCAAGCATCTTTCATCCCCTCTACAAGCTGTTCATTCTCAAACATCTCTGCTTTGTCAAATCACTGCCATATATTTAATTATAGCATATGTCTTAACTGATAATTCCTCTTTCCAAATTTAATTCTTGATTTTGACAGCAACAGGAACATCATTTGTGGTGTTCTCAAGTAACAGTCTCAGGTATGTGGATAAAATGCAACTGAACTCGCAATGAAAACTCCTCCAGATGAAAGTTAAGATAGCATCCCACTTACCTGGTCTGCCTTTGTCCATAGTATTGCATTCTTGCCCCTTTTAGGTATCAAGTGAACACACAATAAACTGTGTTCCAGGGAACATAAACCTCATGCATCAGTGGGTGCTGCAAGTTTTTATAATTGCAAGTCAACTAGCAGTTTTCTTCTCATTCTTCATCCTTTTGTGCAATATCTGCAGGGTTTCCAGTAATCTGTGACCTTGTTGGATGTCAATCCAAGGAAAGCAATCCAAAGGAAAGCAATACATTAAAACATTATTTTATTAGGATAGTGCCCAAAATAGGCTTTATTCTTATTAAATATAGACTAAAATACAGCCCAAGGAAAGCAAAATCTTGAAGTCTAGATAAACACACACACCTTTATTTATCTCGCCATGTTTCAGTTCTATCAATCCAAAATAAAAAGAAAATAGACTTCCTAAAAAATTCATGTATATTGCAATATATTAAAGTCATTCTTCATGCATTAAGACCCTAGTGAGAGATGTGGTAATAATTTTCTAGGGGTTTGGGTGGGTTTGTTCCTTAAGAGGAACATGGTGCATAAAACTGAATCTAGGAAAGAGTTAAGCAGGTTGGAGAATATATATCCTGCCATTAAAACACATTCAATTAATATGCATTCTTTTGACCTTTGTTAGCTAAGTATATTGTCATTCAATATCCTGTGAAGGATGGAGTTCTTAGAAAAAGGTAGCGAAGAGTCTCTATTGCCCTGTATCATTTTAATTAAATTTTGCAGTAAGTTTGGTTTTATTAATTCCTCTCTGGGCTCTGTAACTATTACTGCTCCAAATACAAAAGGGAACTTTATTAAAAGTTCTGTTGCAACAGTTACGTGGGACTGGGCCTGTCCTTTGGTGAAACTCCGCTTATTCAGTGTATTGAGTTATTTAGAATTTACTTCCTCAGAAACTATACTGTGCATTGGGAGAGGAAATATCCTAGCAGCTAATGGAATGGAGAAGGACTCTGGAGATCTGGGTTCAATTTATTGGCCAAGCATAAATTTCCTGTAGACCTTGAGAAAACTACTTAATAGGTATCTTTGCTTTAGTTCACCTTCTTTATGGTGGAAGTGTGTCCCTCCCAGATTTGGCTACTGTGGTGTTTAAACCTACTGACTACTTGAGAGGCACTCCAGTAAGATGCGCTTGTGCTATCTTAGTGGCCAAATAGGTACACCCAGCTCTCCGAAGTGGGGAACGATGGAGGAAAGAATAATGTGATTTATGTGTGGTGTGTAACATAGAAACCTCTCTAATACAGGTTTTGCGAGTGTGTAACATAAAAACCTCTCTAATACAGGTTTTGGAAGATACTTCACATGGATTAGCTGATTTGTTGGGTTTTACTAGTTTGGCCTTTGTACAACCATGCTTACTCCCACAGACCAGGTCAGGGGTTTCAGCTTGGCAGGCCTCGCTAGCCTAGGTAGAGCATCGCAATGGCACGTGGAGCAATGCAGGTCTGGTGTTATTCCTGAACAAATAATAATTCAGAGAGAGATACCATATAGGCTCTGTGCAGAGCCTTTGTAACTTGCTTTGTCTCACACAAACGTGTCATCGTTGGACCAAACCACTCCATTAGGTAAAACAACTAAGCAGGCTAACCATGTCTTTACACCTCTGTCACAGCTGATCTGCAAAAAGGGGATTACAAGGATTACAAAGGAGTTTCAGAATCCCCCCAGTGATTAGTGTGCTGTGGTATGTCTAAACTGCTGGGCAGGTGAGCGACACTGTGCTTGCCAGCGTACTCCCTTCTGTCTCTGCCAAGAGCCCACCTGTCTTTCCACCGGGAGCATGGCATACGGGCAGAACAGAACCAGCATGTGCATATGGATCTGGGATCTGCAAGGGGCTCTTGTATACAGCAGCATAGTAGTTAGAAGTAAATAAGACTAAGCCATGAGAGATGGGCAAGAAAGATGGGCATTAATCTGGTGTTTTCAAAGAACTTTAACTCAGACACCTAAGTAAGTTTTCTTTAGTTTTTTAGCAGTGTCTGGAACTGACAACATGAAAAATTAGTATCAGTATGGTTTCTGATTTTGACTTGCAAATTTATCCTAATGTGGGGCAAAGAGGCTTTTATTTCGATGTAGTGGGTTTATATTTATCGCATTTTTCTTTTGCGTGTTCCCAAAGGTGCTTTGTGGTCTTTTGTTACTTATTCTCAGTGTTCCCCGTGACTGGCATTGATTTTAAATATTGATTTTCTTTTGTCACTGAAAAATAATCTTTGTGTTTTCCATTTCAGCATGAACCATTTGGTATGAATGCATGCTGAGGCTCCCACGTTGCCATATTATTTTGCTGTTGTTGATATTACTTTAACACATTGTAGTGCGTTAGAACTTCCTGCCTACAGTGATTTACTCCTACAAGCACAGTAGGAAGCTCTCGGTTCACAAATAAAGAAAAACTGAACACCAGGTTCCAGAAAAAAAATCCTTTAAAAAACTCCTTGAGCATGTATTTACCCCTTTAATCCCATGTTAAAGGCACACTGTGTTTCTTATTATTCCTTTCCTGTTAATTTTAGAGGTTGTTGATGTTTTTATCACTCCTTCCTTCTCTTTGCCTTCCTGTCCACTAAGACTTGTAAAATACGCATACTGATTTAAAGCTGAACTGGAAAGTTTTAACTCACATTTCTTCTGTGAACCTGTGGTTGGGATTAGTAACACCTAGTAATGACATCTTCAGCCTTCTCAATACTTAGTTTTGTAACAAAGAGAGAAAGTCTGGAACTGTGGTTCCTGTGGGAAATAATGAGCCAGACGGCAGTTCCCCTTCATGCTGATATTTTGGGGTCCAGCAAAAATGAAACACACAGCTGGAGATGGAATGATATTTAGAAAAGGCTTGGGAACACTGTGTGTGACATGTCAGCGTAAGTGGAAGTGGTCACCGACTCACAAACTGTATGTGCGCTTGTACTGTGATAATAAAATCTTCAACAGATTACAAATACTGCATTCACTTTTAATCATATGTGCTCCATCTAGGGAAGGAATAGAAGGTCACAAAGCTATGATCTGAGCAAGCAAGTGACATTATTATGATTACAGTGCTCTTGAACATATGATTAATGTCAGAAATTTAATCATCTCTTTTTGCCTTAAAAAAAAGTCCTTCATGCTACATATTATTATCAGAATGCATTACAGAATTCTGTACAATTATAGAATTTTAGAGAACCTTGAAGGAGAGACAAAAAGAACAAAAGTAATATCAAAAGACAGAAAACATACAGAGGGTGGAGGAGACATGGCCAGGGAAGCAGGAATTGAGTGTTTTAGCAGTTTCATAACGGATATATTGAATGAGATTGAGAAATGAGATAAAACAGTACTTAGGGATTTTCACTGCAGGGGTAACAGAGAAGAGCACAAGTGGGTTTTCTCCTCTTCTCTGTCATGGGAAGTATTTATTGGTGAACCAGAAAAGTGTGGTAGTCTATTTATATACTAATTTACCCTTAAGTGTAACTTCGGAATCGAGCAAAAGGTATGCCTGCTTAGTGCTATTCTCTTCTTACCTACAGTGGCTTTCATTAAATTAAATACATATACAATATGTTTCTTCCAATTAACAGAAATCCTCTCTTATAGGAGAAAGTGAAAGAAAAATATTCTCTTTCAGTTGGCTGGAATTAAGTTTTTATTTGAATGAGTATATCATTTGAGTATATGAGTTTATTCAGAAGCAGATGAAATTGATTCCAAATCCTAAACTTCTGGGGCTGTCATTAAAAAAAAAAAAAAATCTACTTCTTTTTTTCTGTGCCCTGTTCTCATTTAGAAAGCCTAGAAATTGCATGTTAACAGAAGCTTGGATAGTTCAGTGATGTACTTGGCACTGAAACAGGGCTGAAAACCAACCATATT